GCTGAGCGGGGAGAAGAAACAGGTCTACAGAATCACAAAGGGTTTGGACCAGGTGAACTGGCAACTGTTGTTCACTAAGTTCGAGAATACTAGAACTAGGGAGCACCCACTGAAATTAGTAGGACACAGGTTTAAAACTGATAAGAGAAAGTATTATTTATGGAGCATATGGTTAATTTATGGAACTCATTGCCAGAGGAGGCAGTAGGGGCAGATAGCTTAGCCAGGTGCAAAAAGGGACTAGACAAATTCAGGGAAGGTAGATCTCTTAATAGCTGTTGAACAGAATAGCTGGAAATGTTTCTTCTGGCATCTCTAAACCAATAATGGTGGATGCCAGAGAGGGTAAAGAATGGGGGCTAGATTACTATAGAGCTATTCTGTTCAATGCTCTCCCTCTAGCATCCACTTCTGCCACTGTTGGAGACAGGATAGTGGGCTAGGTGGACCACTAATCTGACCCAGTATAGCACTTATGTTCTTACAATACAAGATCATTTTCCCATTTGAAGTACCTGTGAAGTACCAAGATAACATGTTTCCCCAGGACAATAGGGGCTAGTTTGATTAACTGCCTTCCAAGCTATGCCTTCCAAGCTTTCCTTGGGAGTGTAAATGACTGTCCCACACCTGTTTTGATGGGAGTCAAAGCCTGGGACAGTAAGACCCAAGACAAACCTGATGTCTGTTTTAAGTCTTAGTTTATCTCTTCTCTAAGAAAGATTATATTTTATATAGTTTTATCACTTTTTTTTTCTAATTAAGCAGTCACAAGCTTTTCATGTTAGATGACCATCACTAATTTTGTGCTACAGATTAATTTGAGGTTCCATTTTATCCGAAAATCTCCATCTTCACCTAATTTACAGAGTATTGGGGTTGCAGAAACTGCATTCTACCTGATCGTAGTGATTTGTGTCATGTCACAGAACTAAACTTGCACTAGATATATGTGCTATTTTTCAGTTCTGCTTCCCACAGTTACTAGCCTTAGTTGCATGGGGCTCCATCCATGTCTCCACTACCTCTCTCCCATGCCCTTGGGGAAGGGATAAGTCTTTTCAATTCCCCCTCCATAATGCCCAGGGGAGAAGAGGGAATGGGAGTCTCCATAGCACCTGCACAAGTCTGAGTCTTGTTGAGTGAAGGAAAGAGGTAAAAATAGGTCACCATGTCTTGCTTAGTAACCTATTCCAGACACACAGAGCATGGAAGAGGCTCCAACTACATACCTTTGGCAAAAACAAACGGGAAGATGGGAATTACACTGTTCTTACACAGAGAGAGCATCTCCAGCTCAGTGGAGATAAGATGGTAGGAAGACAGAAGCAGCCTAATGTCAAAATATTCACACTTGTCTATGAGCAAATTCTACACTGAATCACATACCATTACTTACAATGGGATATCTCCCTTTGGGAGATAATGAAGAAGGTCAGGATTCATACAGCTGGGGACCAAGTGACAGACCTGTCCTGTTCAGAAGGAGGGGAGGTTTCTGATGACAAGTGAGGAAGCAGGTGCCAGAAGCACAGGTTGATTTTTCTCTTTAAATCTTTCCTTTTTGAATAAAGAATATTAAAAGTGAGAACTGCAGGAACACATCAGTAAGGTTGAAAAGCTACTTACACAAAATGCAGGAAAGCCAATGGGTTAGGCTTGCAAGGTAATATTAACTGCATCATGCTGTTATACCTCATGTATTACATAGCATAAGGGAAACAATTTTGTGGTAAGTACCCCACAGCAAGGACTCCTAAATTCCACCAAAATGATAACTAACCATATCTCTGTGGAATACATTGCATTCTCCCATTAAACACACATATCTATGACTCACATTGAAAAATCCTCCTGTATCCTTATGTACAAAGCATCAATGATTACTCTCCATGATGGATTATTCACCTTATTCTGCAGTCTAAATGGCCCAGACCCCAGGGGCTCAGTAATTACAGCATTGTTTCAGCTTAGAACATCCTTCCTCTGCCTGATCTGTCAGCAAGGAAGGTGCTTACAGTCTGCTTTACTAGTTCAGCATCTCAGCTCCTCAAGTCTCTAGGCAGTCTCCTTACTCAACCTACCCTACTGCCGTATTACTGGACTGACCCTTCTGGGCACAAATTCACAAAAGGAGTGTAGCAAAGACTGTGGGTACTTCCAAAATACCATTTCCTAATTATTCCTAAACTCCAAACCACAGCAACCACTTCTACAGGCAGGTGTAGTGGTAGAGTCTACATACCATTCAGTCCATAGCCCTTCTGCCAACAAACAGCAGCAATGATGATGATAGTTTTTTGTGACAAGACACCTGTCCACTATGATGGCCATGCAAGACCTGCAACAGATTCTAACAATTTTCAGACCCCACTGAACTGGGTGAATTCAAATCTGCACAATCTGCACCCTAAAGATAAAAGACACCTTACTCGACTAGCAATCCCCTGAGCCATCCAGTTCCTTCATTTCCATGATAAAAATAAATCAGAACTGTTTCCCTCAGGAGGAAATTATGCTCATTTATCAGCAATTGAAACACAAGGAATGTTCTTTTCAGATTTATAACCAGGCAACTTGTGCTCTCCAAACTATTGACACCTCTGTTCCTCAAGGACATTAAACGCTTGGCAACACATTACCAAAATATCCCAACATATTTTGTGTATTGATGTAAATTTGAGTGTGTTCAAAAACATGTAAGTCATCAAAACTACATTTAAAAATATGCATACCTATACAGTGAGAATAGAATAATCATGTTAAAACAAAAGTGTAATGTGTGAATTTTACTAAGTTGATATCAGAAATATGTTTCTACTAAAAAACTGTTCAATTGGGTCTCTGATCATGAAATATGGTAAGACTTCTGATTTGTTATGCCTAATAGAAATCACTTACATTATACAATATATTTTCAACAGTCATATCCCTCTCAGAGGACTTCCTCTTATGTCATTAAAATATGTAAAGTTGTAGCAGCAATAATGATGGAGATACATGTACCTAAGCAACAATTAACATGCTTGATTATGGATCACAATCTTTTACTACTGAATTATAGGTTAATCCATTCATTTCTCATTGGTTGTAAACATGGTAAGATGTTTCCAGATGAAAACATCCAAAGACATCCAGGGTTGCAGTCGTGCAAAGTGATGATCAGCTTCTGGGAGGCAAGATGTGGTCTCCATTCTCTGACCTTACTATGTTCGAGGATGCTGAGAACCTCATTTGAGACAGTCAACACACTGCAAAAGGGAGTAAGGAGCCTGGGAGGAGTTGAAAGGAGTCCCTGAAATAGAGGGGACTGGGAATGTGGTACACAGGAAGTCTTGGTGGGGAAATGAGGAATGCAAGAAGCCCCTCGTGCTTGCAGTGATCTTGGTCTGCAGAAGCCAGACTGTGTGGCGATCCCTTTGTTAAGTGATTAGTGAAATTAAGTGATTTCCAATTAACATATTGCTAGGACCATGTGTATGTTCCCCACATTTGCTCCACCCCATATGAACTTTTTTTCCTGTCCCTGGGCTGATCCCTAAGTGAAGAACGAATATTGATAGCCTTGACAATGTTTGAGGAGCATCCACAATGGTTATCAGACAGATAGAAAGTGGGGGTAGAACCAGGGGCTCTCTAACTGGAGGCTCGCAAACTGAGGGGCCAGCATGTGGCCCAAGAACCCCTGTAGCTATCCCTCCCACTGCTGCATTGGAGGAGAGGACCTGAGAGGCCATGTACCATCAGTGCAGGCTGCCTGGTGTTGGGGGCAGGGGAGAAGGGGATCCTAGGAGACCGCCCCTGTAGTATCTGGCACATTTGCTGTGCAGTCTGGGGGTTGCATGCTAGCATCGTGTGCAGCCCCACTTGCACCAAAGTTGTATAGCCCTGGAATAGGCTACTTAGGGATCATCTCTGAATGGAGCTGGTCCTGATAAATTATCCTGAAATAATTCTTACTCCAGAGTAAGAGTAATCTACACATGGGCTAGGGACAGAAGTTATGCATAAACTGGTTTAAGTCATCAGAAACTGATTTAAGCTTTTAACAGAACAGAAGTTCAGTGCACATAAACCAGTTTCAAAATGGCTGAAACCAGTTTGAGATAAACCTGGTTGAATGTAGTATCAGACTTAACTGATTTGGGTCAAACCAGTTTATGAAACTTCTGTCCAAGACCCTTTCCTGGTTCAAATTAAATCACAGTCCCCCAGCATTGCAGCATCCTTTGCAGCCCTGGGCTGGGATGTGCTGTCTGTTCCAGCAGAGAAGGGTTGGGAGGGAAGAGGGGAGGCAGGGACTGCCTGCCCCCAGGCAAACCCTGGCTGGGGTCTGGGGCCAGGGAGAGGGGTTACCCCTACCCCGAAGTACAGAACTGCCCTGCTAAACTTACTGAAATGTAATGCTGGCTGAGACTGTGAACTACAAATCTCAGAGGCACCTGGAAGCAGGAAGAGGAATTGATTAGCAACCCTGCAGAGTGCTGCTTCTGTGATACAGACTGCAAATCTCAGAAATCTCAGGGGCAGCAGGACAAGGAAGTGCCAGAGTGCTCTAGTGCCCTCCTCCTCCCCCTTCCCCCTCGCCTCAGCTTCTGGCCTGAACCACTGAAGGTATGTGGCTGCATTTCAAGAATCAAAGGTAAATGTGTATCCAGTTGTTTCTCAATTTAATCTTTGCAGTTTAGACTAACCTGTAAAAACTGAATCAATTCAGCCTCAGGCTTGTTAACTGTCTATACTTAGCCATGGAGTTAATCAACTACAGATAAAGATGCATCCATGTGTTACATTTTTATAGTGTCTAGTATGATGGAACCTCTGACCTGCCTGAGGCCTCTAGGCACATGGCTTGTATGTCAGATCATCATCATTGTTTTGTGCCATCAAGAACATACTAAAATCCCAAGTGTAACAATGAGATCATTACTCAACTGAGCAGCTTTCAAATCAATTGCTATTCATTTTTAAAATGAAAAATAAAATAAAGATGGGCTTACCTCTCAGTGCCTGAGTCCACAGCTGAGAGAGGAGGTAACTGAGATGGTGGGTTGTGGGGACTACCCTGTACATTATGCCCAGGAGAGGGATGACTGACAGGATGCGTCAGAGGCACAGCCCCAGCTGCTGTTCCACTCCGACTTGAGTGTGTGCTGGAGAACATTGTCGCTGAAATCAGAAGGAGAGCAATATCCAGTATCATGATAGGCACAGCCTGGTTTTGATCAATACAACCAGGTAACAGGTCACTCATTCTACTACTGACTTAATGCTCATTCTCAGATTTTGAATCTTGTTTTCTGCTGGGAACAAAAACAACACAAAATCTTTACTGGTTCATAAGTGATTTTCTAAAATCAAGAATAACAAAACTATAAACCCAGATTAGGAAATTTAGCTTGGGCATTTTGCAGTTCTAGAAACAGTGATTGTTTAGTATCGGAGAAAAATATAAAACAGTGTTTTTAGAGCTGGATAACAAACTCATGAAAAATCATATTTTAAAAAATGTTTGAGTGTTGTTATTAAAAAAAAATACTTCTAGAGCTACTTCTAGAGTTATTTAAAAAAAATAAATACTTCTAGAAATACTTCTAGAGAACCCAACTCTCAAACCTTGAAATATTTTCAATTTTTTGTAAAAAAAATTAAAATCGTCTACATTTCAGTGTGCTTTAATAATTACCCTTGCTATGTGAAAAGCATGTAGGTGAGATGGGACAAAGTGCTAGGTTGAACATAAAATCATTATGGAAGTCCCTCTCTCTGTTTTAATCTGTTGGCCTAAAAAATTACTGCCTCATTTTCAAAGTTCCCTAAACTGAGTAACCAGGGCTAAGGACTTAAGTACTGAATCAGATAATCATCACTGTCTCACCCCTTGACTCAAAAGACATAGATGATTTTTGCTTTTTGTAAAGCAAAACAGCAGCAAACATGGAGGTTGACACAATAATTACCATGTCTCCTGACAAATCTCGGTGCTTTGGACACCATTACTCAATGATTTTTATTGACATCTGTGCCAAGTGGTGTACACTGATTCTGAGTGACAGCCTAGACGTGCTCTTAAATATTTTATAGACTCTGGGGAGGAGTTAAGATAGTCTGCCTGCAGTAGGAAAATGATCTGTCACTGACTGGTTGTCATGATAGCTCCCTGTTCCTGTACGGTCTCAATGATTTCATAAAGGTGCCTACAGTGGTTTTGTTTAGGCCTAATCTATATTACAAATGGTTACCTGTAAAAATTGCCTTATGACAGTATATCCCAGGACTCACTGTTTGTCAGGCCCAGAGTTCTCAGTTATGCCACTCAACTTAAACCACTTCCCTGAACTGCCTAAGTACAAGTAGAGAAATTTTCCAATGATAAAAGTGGCTAAGTCCATACTACATTATCTGCACCAATATAAACAATCCTCCAGAGCAATCATACAGTGCTTCTGTCCCCATGGAAGTGACCACTCTGCTCATAGTTTTGACATCTATTCCCTAAGGGGGTTGCAGTAATTGCAGATCCTCTACCCATAGGCCCCATTTTAAAGTCCTCAGGATGTTGGGAAATGCCTTTTTTGCTAGGCCATCTTTGTCAACATACTACAGAGATAGCCTTAGGCTATCTCTGTAGCACCTCTCTGAGTACAGGCAAGCCCTACCCAAATACTTCTACTCCATGCATGCCCAAACATGATAGTTAGGCAAAGTAGATAGTTCAGAGTGGCATTAGTGGGCTCATAAGAACATAAAAACTTCCATTTACTGGGTCATACAACAAGTCCATCTTGCCTAGTTTCCTGTATCACAAATGGCAGGCATGGGATGCCAAAAGAGAGAGTGAACAGGGTATGATCAGGGTTTTTCCATTTGCAGCCTCCAGGATTTAAGGTCTAAGAACTTCTCATTCAGAGGCTTTATCTTTAACTTTCATGCTCAACAGTTATTGATGCCCATTTCCTCCAAGAATTTGTCCAATCCCTTTTTGAATCTGGCTAAACTATCAGCTTCCACTACATCTGGCTGGGTCCTACCTTAGGGGTCTTTAAAAGGAGGCTTGATAACTACCTAGCTGGGGTCATTTGAGCTTAAACTTAGTAAGGGTCATAAGAGCCCTGTATTAATTCCTGTCCGGGGCAGGAGCTCGGACTAGATGATCTACTTAGGTGCCCTCCGACCCTACTTCTATGAAACTATGAGTTCCACACTTTAATTACACACTTGGCCCATCTACCAGTGCACTTTAATGTGCATTAACTTATTTTAACATGCATTAAAGCATCACAAAAAGTGCTCTTTAAGTCCTTAGTTAATGCGCATTAAAATAGGCTAATGCCTATTTTTCTAGTACCTCAAAATGGAGGTACTAGATTTAATGCTCATTACCTAAAGCACATTAATGAACATGTAGATATGACCACTGTGTGAAAAAGAAATTCCTTTTGTTAGTATTAACCTTACTACCTACCAGTTTCATTTTGTGACCCCTAGTTCTTGTATTGTGAGAGACAGTAAATAATAAATCCCAATTTACTTTCTCTTCACCATTTAGTATTTTGTAAACCTTTTTTCATCTCCCCCCCTTAAGTGTCTCTTTTCTAAACCAAATAGGCCCAGCTTCTTTGTTGCTTCTCAAATGGAAGCTCTTCCATACCACTAATCAGCCTTGTTGCCCTTCTCTGTATCTTTTCTAGTTCTCCTATATCATTTTTGAGATGTGGAGACCAAAACGACCCAGTGTCCAAGGTGTACATGCACCACAGATTTATAACGGAGCATAATGATATTTTCCATTTTGTTTACAATTCTCTTAATCCCTAACATGTTGACTGCCTTTTTGATAGCTACTGAGCTAATGTTTTTAGCAAATTGTCCACCATGACTGTTAGATCTCTTTCATGTGTGGCAACCGCTAATGTAGAGCCCATCATAATGTAGGTATAGTGTGGGCTATTTTTGCTCAGGTGCATCACTTTACACTTACCTACACTGAATTACATCTGACATTTAGTTGCCTATTTGCTCAATGGTGCCAGATCCGTCTGTAGTTCTTCACAATCCTTCTTGGCCTTTACCACTTCGAATACTTTTATGCCATCTTCAAATCTGGTCACCTCATTACTTACCCCTTCTTCCAGATCATTTATGAATATATAAAACAGTACCAATACCAATACAGATCCCTGGTGGACCCTGCTGTTTACTTCTTTTCATCCCCAAAACTGACCATTTATATTCACTCTTTGTTTTTTATCTTTATACTAACTTCTAAACCATAAATGGACCTTCTGTGCAATGCCACAACTACCTAACTTCATTAAATCCTCTGATGAAGGTCCTTGTCAAAGGCTTTTCCAGATATAGTATATCTGGACATCTGGACATAGTATATCAGTAGGATCACCCTGATCCACCTGTGTATTGACACCCTCATAGAACTTCAGTAGGCTGGTGAGGCATGATTTCTCTTTGACAAAACCATGTTGATTCCTCCCAGCAAATCATGTTTATCCATGTGCTGAACAATTTTTTTTATTATTGTTGTTTCTACCTGTTTTCCATGAACAGAAGTTAGACTCACCAGCCTGTAGTTTCCTGGGTCCCCTCTAGAGCCTTTTTTTTAAATATGGGAGTCACATTGGTAACTCTCCACTCCTCTGGCACCAAGGCCGTTTTTAATGATAGGTTGCATATTGCATTTAGGAGTTCAGCAATTTACGAAATGAACTCCTTCAGGACCCTAGGGTGAATGCCATCAGATTCTGGTGATTTGCTACTCCTTAGTTTATTAATTCCTTCTATGACCTCATCTAATGAAACCTCAATTTGGGACAGCTCCACTGACTTGTCCCTAGAGAGGAGCGGATCTGGTGAGGAAATCTCTCTAATATCTTCCACAGTGAAGACAGATACAAAGAATGCCTCATCAATTCAGAATATACTTGGTTCCTC